TTTTTTTTTTTTTTTTTTTCCTGTGTGAGAGAAATTAAAACGTAGCATATTAATGAACGGATTCATTTTTATTATGTCAAAAATTAAATGACGGTAAATAAAAAAGGATGAAAGAAATAATAACTGTAACAGCTCAAGCCCACCGCTAGCCGATATTATTATATGATGTTTCGTTCCCTTCTCTCACTCATGTTTGATGTCATTTGTAACATCTCAAACTCATCGCTAGTAGATATTGTTTATTTGATTTTTGTTTTTCGAGTTTTTGTTCGAAGTATTTAAATAAGGAGAGGTTTTTACACTATTATAGAGATCTTACGATAACTAACTTATTTTTCGAAGAACCAATCGGGTTAGTTTAAATTTAGAGATTAAATATACATTAAATTTTGAATATTATAAAAATAGGACCATGTGAATGATTTTGTTTTATTATGGATTTTGACAGTAAAATATCTAATTCAAATCTATGTTTATTAATAAACATTAAATGACACTAAGAAGATCGGACTATAAAGGATGCTGCTTGTGGGCTTCCATACTTAAAAAACACACAAAATCATTTAAGAATGTTTTTTCCTTTTTCCTTTTCAAATTGATTATTGATTTTGTATTATTATTTTATTTTTTAAAAAAGTATTAGATCTGTCGTCCCGACCAATCAGTTTAATAAACGACAATAATGTAAATAGAGTCGCCATTTGACGACGTTAGCTTTGGTGTCGGCCCCAGCAAAGAGAATTTATCTTTAGGGTAAAAGTAAAAAAGTAAAAAAGTAAAAAAGTAAAAAAGAAAAGAAAAAGAAAAGGAGAAAAGAGAAGGGTATAAAGGGAAATTCGATGTAACTTTGTTAACGTGTGGTAATCAATAGAATGAAGAATGTCAGCCGTTGATGCGAAAAGATCGAAGTTTGTGCTCAGTTGCGCCAAACGTGTGCATGGTACTTGATTCACCAACTATCTGCCAAATCCACACGTGCCGACCTTACTGCTGTTATTAATATCATCAATCAGTCAATTATAAATTAATTCTCGCACTAAATGTATCATTAGATTAAATCATTGGGTTACCAGTTTTTTTTTTTAAAGGAATCGTTGTTTTTGGATTTTAGTGTGTTATGAAATAATAGTGTTTTTTTAATAAAAGATAACAATCTCATATGAGTTATGATCAAACGAAGTATTTTTTATAAGAGTTTAGAAATCTCCTTCTAGTAGACATATTTTAAATTGCAAAATTGATGGTTATATACAACACTCAAAGCAAATGATATCTACTAGTGATAGCCTTAGACGGTCACATAATAACTATTTTGGTAAAAAATTTGTGAAATAAGAATTTGCGCTAATATTTGAAACGGTAATTAGTATCTAATTCAAACTTTTTCAAATATCGTTTTTGGTATATCTATTATGTGCTTGAGCGTTTAAGAACATAAACATTAAATTTCTCGAGTTTTTTCGAAATATATCTTTGTTGAAGTCCATAATTGATTGAATCAATGTTCCTCTCATCCAAATTAACGCAACAAAAATTCAAATACTTTTCTATAGGATCTAATGAAGGCTAATTACATAAACTAATAGCAAAAGTTCTTGATAAATTATCCTCAAAATCAAATTTATAATCAGGAAAATAAAGAATGTAAAAAAAAAAAAAAAAAAAAAAATGACAGGCAAATTTTGGTTCTCGAGGAAGAATCTAAAATGGGTAGCAGTCATTAGTAGGTTCATTGAAGAAAGTGAAGTGGTTTACAGTTTTTTGAAGAATGGAGGAGAGAGGCAATATACCAGTAGGCCAGTTCATACTTTTATACAAAACAGATTCCCTTGACATGTGAAGGAGTTTCCTTTTTGTAAAATGAACACAGCCAAGCCCCTCCTGTGCTTCTGACATCTTTGGGAACTGAGCAACTTTGTCATCATTTACCCCCTCTCGCCCTATAATACATGAGTTTTTTATAATCTTATAAACAATGATTCGTTCTCCAATATAATTATACAAGTGTTCCATCCCGTTTCAGAAACTTTTTGAGAGCACCCGGTCTCTCTCCTCCTAATTTTACTCATTTCCCCTCTGATCTACATTGTCTATTTCTCTATATAAGCACTCATATCCATCAACTTTTTGAGGGAGCTTGAGCAGAAGAAAGACGTACTCTCTATAACACTATCAGTCATGATGGTTTATCTGAGATCTCTTGTGGTTCTCACTCTCTACACTCTCTTGACTTCCCACAATTCAGGTAACTGACTCACTAATGAAATCTTCGGGTTATGTTTTGTGTTCTTAGATTCTGAACAATGTGACTCAACTCCATGGTTTTTCTTCTTGCATTTGCTACAGTTTTCGTCTCTGCAACTACAATAACATTCTACAACAAATGCCCTCATCCAGTTTGGCCTGGCATTCAGCCCAGTGCTGGCAAGCCCTTGTTGGCTCGCGGAGGCTTCAAGCTACCACCCAACAAGGGCTACTCTCTACGCCTTCCAGCCCTGTGGTCTGGCCGTTTCTGGGGCCGCCATGGCTGTGCTTTTGACGCATCTGGTAGAGGCAAGTGCGCTACAGGGGATTGTGGTGGTGCCCTCTACTGCAATGGCATTGGAGGTGCCCCACCAGCCACTCTTGCTGAGATTACACTTGGAAATGACCAAGATTTCTATGATGTGAGCCTTGTTGATGGCTACAATCTGGCTATGTCCATTACCCCGTCTAAAGGCTCGGGGAAATGTAGCTATGCTGGGTGTGTGAGTGACCTTAACATGATGTGTCCTGTGGGTTTACAAGTTAGATCTCACGATGACCACAGAGTGGTGGCCTGCAAAAGTGCTTGCTCTGCATTCAATTCTCCAAGGTATTGCTGCACAGGCAGGTTTGGCAATCCGCAGTCCTGCAAGCCAACCGCATATTCCAAGATCTTCAAGACCGCTTGTCCCAAGGCTTACTCTTATGCTTATGATGATCCCACTAGCATTGCAACTTGCACTGGTGGCAACTATTTGGTTACTTTTTGCCCTCATCACAGTTAGATGCACTTTAAGCAAAAGAAAAAAAAAAAAAACTTTGGATTATGATATAATTCTGATAGGAGTTTGTTTATGGGGAATAGTGGCTTTGACTAATGAACTTATATTGATGCCATCTCTCTCTCTCTCTATTGTTACTAGGTATTAATAGGCTTTTGGCTGTTCGGGCCTTGTATTAATGGCTGGCTTTTGGTCCTTGTGGACTATGGCTGGCTTTTGGTTCTTGTGGACTATGACTTGTGAGTAAAAGGGAACTAAGAAGCTGATTAGCTTGCCAAGAATCGAAGTCTCTTGTCCCAATTGCTAATATGGAAACGACAGCATTACATGAGGTGAAAAGCTGTGCTGTGATAGTGTGAGTGGATTTCCAGTGTGTTCCGTTTGGCTATATCTTTATAAGGTAAAGCATGCCAGCTGGGTCAGCCATCCAATGGCAGTGCTTTTCACATGAAAATATATTTAAAAAGGGAGCCATTTTCCACTCTACTTGACACACTTGCTTTTCTTTTAAAAAAAGTTCACCTAAACACTACTTTTTCATTCAAGAACATGTATATTACGAAACAGTTGCAAATTTGAATTGAAACATTCGGTTAAGGCCTTTACCTTGGCTCAGTGGAGTCTGTATGTTTCAAATTACGGCCATCAACACTGAGGAGAGGAGGGCATTGAAAATTAGCAGGGAAGAACTCTCAAGGGCCCAGCGACCGGCTACCTGTTGGGGGGGGCCTACAAAAGAATCTTCAATTTAAACGTCAGTGTTTATCAATATAATGTACCAAATCAATTCAATTTCAGCGGCAGCCGAAAGAACAGGCTGATAAACAAGCAGCCCCCAATTAGCGGAAAATTTGTAGTTATCATCCCTTGGAATGTTTCAAAGATCAATCAACTTCAGCCAAAAACTTCCATCTTTTGCTGCTTGTTGTCATCATAGAACACAATGGCAATTCAATCCATTACTTTTCTCTATTAAATTCAAATCACTATCCATATACACGAGAAGATAAAGTCTGATAAGAAAACAGGGAAATTCTATCATGTGCAATCAAAAGACAGGCATTGATGATGAGATTGAACAAATAGAAAAGGTGATTAAAGACTGATGTGTGCACAGTAGACTCAGGGTAACACCAATGTAAACCCCATCATTTCAATTCTTATCTCGCTATTTATGTGAGCTCCTGTACCTGCAGCAAGCCTACATTTTAGTAAACTTATTGATGCACTTCTATAAAAATGATTGCTTTTTGACATGCCCCTTAAAGTATAGAAGACAGAGGATAATGGGTCACATGACCACTGACGAGTCAAGATGATGAGGATTGCAAGCATTCCTGCATAAAGTGGGAATATCAATATTCCTACACAAAACAGTAATAACAAAGAATCAACAGACATAACACGCAATTTTCCCTAAATCTGAAAAAATAATCATGTGAATGAAATATTAAAAGAGATCAAATATGACCTTTTGATTCAACTTGGTTTACTTTGATATGTACAAACTCAAAGATTTTGAGGTGGCATTTAGCAGTTCATATTTTTCATACAATATCCTTTCCGTCATACAACAATTAATCAAAACAAGTATCAATGTCGGTTGTGTAATCAATCGATACATCATAAGAGGAACAGTGGCAAGAGTAGTGTCGTAAGCTCTAATCAAACTAATGAAAACAAGAACTCAACAAGTCCAAATGCTAACCCTTCTTCAATCTGTCGCTGCTTTCGTCCTTGCTTGCTCTGTACCTTGCACAAATGGTAAGAAACTTCAGGCAATAGATAGAATTAGCTTGTGCCATTTCAAGAGTTATCATCCTGATGATTTTTTCATACTTAATAAAATCCCTAAATTGAAAATATATATTTTCAAAGAATAAGAAAATGAAGAAGAATAATTATGCACGGGAATTCGTTTATAGATCCTGCATAATTTCAAATGATGCTGGCTCAGTACTATCGGTCAAGGTATCAGACTTACAAAGGTAAAATATCAATAGTTTTTGTTACATGCTTTAAGTAACCATCAGTCATAAATGAGGAGTACAGATGTTGGCTTTATTTCAGATACATAATATAGGTGACGCATGTGTAAGCAAGCAAATGAGTTACAATTAAAGAAATGAAGTTACAATTCTCGTTCTCACCAGTTTTGCTCGACCCAGGGAATTTGCGGCTGTAAAAAGGAAATTCAAATAGAAAGTTTTTCTTGAACCACGAGGGCAGGTTTCCATATATTGCTGTAGGCAGTGGGATCAGGGGGCTGGAGTAGAATCAAACGGATCATTACTTTTACCATATGGTTGTTAAATTAGTGGGAGTGTTAATAAATGAAAGAACAAGAAAAAAAAAGAACCCCACCTAGTCTCTCTTTTATAACGTACGTATTCGGTCACATTCCCAAACTTCTTATCTGCTGATTTCTGTTAATACAAAACATGCTAGTAATTAAGTAAAAGAAAGATTTGCTCATTAATTGAAAGGGAGGGGAAAGCAAACCTCAAGTAGTGGGATCCCACTGACAAAAAGAAGCAGCAATGTTAAGAATATTGGCCCAAGTATCACAAGCCACTCAATACCTTCCAGAACGGGAGTGGAAGCAACGAAGATTCCCCACCAAAGAAAGATCTGTTATCACCGTTGTTAAAAGCGTTCATCTAAAAAGGATTTTAAGAAGAATACTTATCTGGCAGAAATATATGCAACCCCGTGGTAGAAAATAATTCGCAATACGATAAGTCAGTGCAGCTACACACCACCAAACTAATAATTTGAATCCTTACTCGGAGGGAAACACAAGTTCTTCATCACAAATGTCAAAATTTGAGTTTATCAAAGGTTCATATCTTGAGCATTCTTTCCTTTGAAAAGTAATATATCGTAAGCTAAGCACTGGCATATGAGGGTGTCCAAGAAAATGATATTTATATTTTCGAAGTATCTACGAATAACCTAGAGTGCAAGCAACTCTTCTTCCGAAGAAGAATGTCATTCCTTGGCTTGACTTGGCAGGCTAGTAAGTCAAGTGAGAGGATGTAACCGCCCAAACAACCGCTAGCAGGTATTGCTCTCTTTGGGTTTTCCCTTTCGAGCATCCCCTCAAGGTTTTAAAACGCGTATGCTAGGGAAAAGTTTCCGCACTTTTATAAGAAATGTTTCGTTCCCCTCTCCAATTGATGTGAGATCTCACAATCTACCCCCCTTGGGGGCCCAACGTCCTTGCTGTCACACCGCCCAGTATCTGGCTCTGATACTATTTGTATTAGCCAAAATCTACCGCTAGCAGATATTGTCTTTTTTGGACTTTCCTTTCGAGCTTCCTCAAGATTTTAAAATGCAATATTTGTCAGCAGTAGGTTTGGACGGTTAGAGAGGAATATTATAAACTAGAGTGAGCTTTTGTTAAAGCTAATGGAAAGGCCAAAGGATCTCAGTATAAAGCAAGAATATTAAGCATAAATAGCTAGCTACTTACAAAGTTTTCGAAAGTGCATAAAGAAAGAATACATGGAATGCCAGTTACAAAGTAAATGTACTTTTGGCAGTGGCCTAACCTCACCAAAGTAATTAGGATGACGAGAGACCTTCCAAAGTCCAACATCGCACCACTTCCCCCTATTTTCTGGAGAGTTTTTAAATGCCAATTTTTGTTGATCAGCTGTAGTTTCGATTACAACACCCACTAACCATATAATCCACCCAATTACATCCGCAGCTCGGAGAGATGGATTGTGATTGCTTGCATTGACCACCGTGATAGGTAAACTTACGGTCCAGATCCAGACAGCCTGAATTAATGAAATGGTGAGTTAGCGTAGCCAAAATGAGATTTTAATATGAGGATTTCACGAATGATAAAAGAATAATCAAATCCACCTGCAATATCCAGAAAACTGCTAATTTTCCCAAATTACTACGCATTTTATCAAAACGTCGATCCTCTCCCCATTGCAAAATCCTGAGATAAACATAAAGAGAGAGAGAGAGAGAAAAAAAAAAAACTACAATAAGCACCTGATATACAATGATTTCCATCGATATTGTCCTATCAGTCATCCATAGACTGAACAAAGATTTATGATTTCCAGCAGTATAATTGAACATTATAGCCTAAAAGCATATATTTCGAAAACTACCTTGGCCAATTTTCTAATTTCAAGAATTAAATCTCCCCTTCCTTCTCCAAATTATGCCCCATCTTGCACCGATAATAATAATACTTAGAACAACTGAGGAATTAGTGTGTGAGATCCCATATCGGTCGGGGAGGAAAATGAAGCATTCTTTATAAGCGCGTGGAAACCACTCCCTAGCAGACGCGTTTTAAAAACCTAGAGGGGAAGCTCGAAAGGGAAAGCCTAAAGAAGACGATATCTGCTAACAGTAGGCTTGAGCTCTTACATAGTGCTTCATTTCCATGTGTGCTTACATAAATTACTAGTTGGGTTGATAATACATAACTAGGTAACAAACATTTTTCTTCAGATTAAAGGCCACGACATTTACTGTAACATGCTAAAATCTAATATTCATGATGGAAAAATGCTTAGAAAAGCTTATTGCTACTGGGTTAAATTGTAAGAGTATGAATAACAAAACAAGTTCTATCTCTTATACTAATTCTAAGCATGCAATACAAGATAACCACCAAAATGAAATGTGAAAATTGAAGACTTATTCATGGCAAGCTGTTATACATACCTCATTAACAAGAAAAAACCAAGACGAAGGCCCCATGTCACTACAAGCACAGACAGAATTACCTGGAAAAATAGAACCATACTTTCAGAGTAAAATTTTCTATAGAACACCAACTTCTTTTCATAGTATAGGCAGTTCGGATACAGTGCAAGAACAGGACATGAACAACTTGAGCAACACAATGTCGACAATGAAGTACGCCAAAAAGGAACTCCTACAAGTTTCTTCAGTCATATGGTAAATCAAAACTATAGAGTTAAACCCAAGGCAGGTTTTCACAGAACTTTGAAACCATGATTGGCATTTGTTACATCAGGAAAATTGTTTAATAATCGTTCTCAGGCAGCTTACAGAATCAAACAGCATTACCTGTCTAAAATGCCAAGTGCCTTTAAGCACTAGAGTCAAAACAGCAAGTATCACAAAATTTGTGCTACCTGTAAATCAAGAACTTCATAATCAGATATCAAAACTAAACAGTGATACGAAGTATATAAAAAGGCACAGGCCTCTACGTTTCTCAGCACCTAACCGACCAAATTCTTTCTTACTATGCAATTCTGAATCAAATTCTTCAGTCTGTTTCCGTAAAAACTTCCAATTTCTTCTTTACAGGCTCATTTCACTCGCGACATTAAAAAAAAAAAAAAAAAAAAAAAAAAAAAAAAAAAAAAAAAAACAAACAATCAGGATTCCTTCTCTGGAATACTAATTCCAGCGATTCTCTTCCCCATTTATTTATCGGCAAAACGAGTTCAGATTCTTGAGAAATGGAGGAGAAGGAAAGTAAGTAAATACCAGCGAAATCAGTAACTTTGTCAAATCTGAGAAGAGCTGTGATTATAAAGAACGACAGTTGATACCCAATCTGTAAATCAGAAAATAGGTGTGAGAAAGAGTTGATACCCAATCAGAGAAGTCGTAAATCTTACAGTGACAGTGGCAGTGAGGGCCAAGAAATGGGAGTCGATCACAGTGCCCATGAAGCTGTCGACGACGAAGCGCTCTGGATTTCAGTTTCTCCCGTTCATTAAGATTCTTATCTGGTTAAATAACAAATTAGTCAATCAGAGAATCCAAGAGAGCTCCTCCGTTCCCGCCATTACAATCACTTTTCGAGAAAGGTGCTTCCATGGATAATAGTTTATTTTTAAATATTTAATTAAAATTTGTAACCAATTTTAATATATATTTTAGAATTATAAGATTAAATGAATAAACAAAAAAATAGTTTTAAAATAAAAAATAAATTCACTCTCATCCCTTACAACTTTTTATTAGCCTTTTAAAAACTATCAAATAAGAAGATCACTTATTAAATGCAATATAAAAACTCCACAAGCTTATGAGATAAAAGAAAATGAAAGTATGTTGACATTTACTAAATTTATAGTTTAAATTCCATTGGAAAGGAACAAGACTTCGAGAGCTCATGGGTAGTTAGACAGTATAACCGCTCAAGCTTACTGATATCAAATATTATCTGTTTTGGTTAGTGACATCAGTCTTACAATTTTAAAACACGTATGATAAGGAGAGATTTACATATTATCATACGAATGTTTCGTTCACTTCTTTAATCGACGTGAGATCTCACCCAAAGCAAACGACAAGACCCAGTTGTTCCTTTCTCTATATTTGGATGAATACAAACCAGAGAATTGATGTGAGTTACAAACTAAGTAGAGGTATGGGCATTGATGGAAGAAGAGTTCAAGCAGGAGCAATGGAAACCTTATCAATCTCAACAACATACTCTAAAGTTGCAAATGGAGGAATTTGAAGACCAGAACCCAAATCTCCACCTTTCTCTCCAAACCCCAAATTAGAAGGAATTATAACTCTCCTCTTACCACCTGCTTTCATGGATTTCACCACATATTCCAAACCTTCACACATTCCTCTGCTGTAAGGTCTTGAGCCCATCACCAAAGCCAGTGGCTTTCTACCACTTTCAAAGGTATCTACAAATACTTCATCACTGCCTTGTATCTTTCCCTTGAGCTTAATCACAACCAAGTCCCCGGACCTCGGTGTGGCGCCGCCGCCAACTCTCAGCTCGTAATACCTGTTTTTGCATCACCAAAATGTCTTAGAACAGTGAGAAAGAGGGCAAGTTATAAGATATTAGATATGCACCTTATGCCATTGGGTAGCACTACTTCCTCTTCCTTTTCAACGTTTCTGCACAATCCAATGCTTGGTTATTATGGAAGTTTACAAGAATTGGTTCATGTTGGTTCTACTGTTCTTAATTCAATTTGGGGCTAAGGAAATTAATGCGAAATTGGAAAATGAAGGGATTGAGGACCTTGTATTTGCTACTTCTTGAGAGACTTCGAGGCGGGTTTTGATCTGTTCGGAGATTACACCAAAGGCGAGAAAAGCAGCCCACGCAAGGCCTGCGCCGAGCCCGAATCGCCTTGTCAAGGTTGAAGCAATCCAATCCGTGGACTCGACATTGGTGGTGGGTCTCTGTTGCTCCACCTTTGTTGGGGCTGGTTTTAGTGGCTCCGATGAAGTAGTGCTCAGAGATGGAGATGGCGACGGAGTTTGCGGCGGTTGGGAAGGTGGGGTTGAAGGTGAAGGTGTTTGTGAGGAAGCTAAGTGATAAGTTCTGGCAAGTGGATGGGATAGAAATGTATTTGATCCGAAAAAAGAAGCCATGATCACAAGCAGATAGCAGCTGCATCAAGTTACAATAACAATATAATCGAAGAAGAAGCAGGAAGAATTGGATGATAGTCCCTGTCACTACCTTATCCCTTCTTCAGATATTTAGATGGTGGCTCTCTCCCCCATTTCTTTCGGATTTCTTTCGGATTTCCCATGTGAGATCCCACGTCCGTTGGAGTGAGGACGAAACATCTCTTATAAGAGTATAAAAACTTTTAAGCCTAGTTTTAAAAAAATTTGAGAAAACCTTAAAAGTGAAAGCCCAAAAAAGATAATGTCTATCAACCGTGAGCTTGGGCTGTTACAAATGATATCAGAGCCAGACAATAGGCGATGTGCCAATGAAGGGCCTAAGCCCCAAAGGGGTGAATACAAGGCGGTGTGTCAACAAGGACGCTGGACCCTAAAGGGATGGATTGGAGGGTCCCACATCAATAGGAGAAGGGAACGAGTGTCAATGAAGAGGCTAGGTCCAAAAGGGGGTGGATTGTGAGATCTGACATTGGTTGGAGAGGAGAACGAATCATTCTTTATCTCCCTAGCAGACGTGTTTTAACAACCTTGAGAGAACCCAAAAGCCCAAGAAGATAGTATCGGTTAACGGTGGACTTGAGTTGTTACAACTCCCTTGGAGCCCAACGTCCTCGCTGGCACACTACTTGATATCTATCAGTAATTTGGTAAAAATTTTGAAACATATAAATAAAAATTTACTGTTCACTTGAGTGGTTAACAAAATGCTGTTTCTCCATTCCCAGTGATCATCTTCTGTTCAAACAATCCAATCCACCTGCAACTGTAATAATGTACCCAACCCATAACTAAACACATCAATTACATTGTTTTCAACTAACCTTTTGATTCTTTTTTTTTTTTCTTTTTTTTTTTCCTTTTTTTACAACAAATACACATCCTGACAATGTCCCATCTCTGATAACATTGAGAAACCAGAAAATTGGAAAAGAATCACAGTCTCAAATTCATCACAGCTTTTGCTCTTCATTCTCAAGCAATCTCCCTTTCTCAGGCTTCCCTGCCCTTCTTTAATCTCAACCAGACAAGCTTCTCAACTTGGTTTGCCTAGCCTGACGGGTCTTCCGCAACTTGCAATAATCGAGCCTTATCACGACCACTTGGTCTCGGCACTTGAGAACTCGACATTGGCTTCTGCAGCGGCTTTAGCGCAGCCATAATCTCCGCAAATGAAGGTCTTAACCTTGGATCTCTACAAAGTGATCAGACGTCAGGTAATCATGTGTTTACTCTACTCTGTGAATGCATCTACCTCTCATTTTCAAACATAAAGTCACAATTTCACTAAAAGAACGCATAAAAAAGGTAGATTAACCATGAGATTTCTACGTTCTTTTTCTTTTTGTTCGATAAGATACCAAAGTACAAGCAATCACATATAAACTTTGTGTTCTTGGAGCTGTTAAGCTGTAACGAGGGTTGATCCAAAATGATGTCTAATACCTCAGCAAACCCTTCCAAATGTGCCTCATCAGATCCTGATCGCACTAGAATGCAATTAGCTAACAAGAACAAACGTGATTTCATGAGTAAAAGATTTCACTGAAGAGTCACAGATAGAGTTAATAGGATCTAGCTCAGCTATACCATTAGAAGCATGAGACTTCAAGCTGATAACATAATCAAATGTAACTAATTCAGAGCACGAGAGCTCCGGTACCTAAAAGATACCACCCCGACCGAGACAATCTTCTGCCACTCGAACTAACTAATTAACGGCTAAACCGTTTCCACGTTTCACTCTCTAACAACATACTTCAACTATTGGAGGCTTATCACTATCATCTAGGAGATGCTTTTAACATTCCAAACAGCTATATGTCGAGAGCTAACCAACTGAAGTATACAAAAAAGAAAGTGAATCAAAGTGGCATAAGTTTCATAATGGTCATATGCACCAGAGATTGAAATGGCTAAATACGAACTTATGAGACAAGACGAGTCACTTTGAAGCAACATTTTAATACTTACGTTTGCCAGCATTTCCTAATAATGTCGGCGATAGCAGGATCCATATTGTCTGGGATGTCAAGACGGCGATGCTGAAAGCCAACGGCGCCAACAACTTGCATTGGGTTCATTCCTCCCCACGGTTGTTGCATCGTAGACAGCTCCCAAAGTATGACTCCGTAACTATAAACATCGCACCTATGCAAAAGGTATTATAACCAAAATGATTAAGAAAAAGAAGAAAACATCCAAATAGGTTTCTTTTCATGTAAAAATCTTACTTTTCGTCTGAAGGTTCATTTCTCAGCACTTCTGGAGCCATCCACTCGGCCTGAAAGATGATAACATGAAAATTAGATATTGTTAAAAAGCATCTCTTTCACATGGTTGAAAACTTGTAATCGCGATTCCGTAGAGCTCTTTTCCTTCATAAGAAACTTCAATGAGTGTGTCGAAACAAACGAAAATTAATAAACTACTTACGGTTCCTGCTGTTGACCTTGAAGAAAGAAATGTGCTATGCTTCATTTTTGATAAACCAAAATCACACACCTAAACAAAAATATATTGTTAACAGTGGACTGATTATACCAGTTTAAAATTTGAGCAACGAAACAAGAGTTTCACCTTAACGACCCAATTTTTATCGACGAGTAGATTTGGGGACTTCAAATCACGGTGTACAACGACAGGCGTGCAATTGTGCAAATAATTCATTCCCCGAGCCTGAAAATTATGTCATTCATTTGAAGAAGAATGTCGATTAAACAAAGTCCGGGATTTATTTGGTGCCAAAATGAAACAGGAATTGACTATATAAACAAAACCATACTGCATCAAGGGCCATCCTCATTCGCTTTCGTTCGTCTAATTGATTGTTGGGACGGTGAAGTAACCTGTACAAGCTACCTCTGCAGCCAAAATACCATTGGATATGTGAGATTTTTGGTCTTTGCCTCGAAACATGAAGGGCATAGAACAATATCATAATAGACATTTATATGGATAAGTAAACAAATTATTTCTCATGCAGGCCTCTAACTTTTACAACTAAGACGAGTTTTGTTTTTTATATTTTAAAAGCTGATAGTTCGGTTATCTAAGCTTTAGAAAATAGTTCCACGTCGTCCTACTCCGTTTACGATGTTATTAGTTAGTTTAATAGAAATATGATGCGATAGTCACATACGTAGAGAGATGATGTACCTGGGAAGAAATTCGGTAACAATTGAAAGATGGGGAGCACGAGTCACAGCTCCCATGAAGAGAACAACGTTTGGATGCCGAAGTCTTTTCATAATTCGAACCTTTAAATGGAAATCACAGCATAAGATACTGAAAATCATAACAATCTTAGCTATCTATATAATAATAATCACAGAGGCAGGCTTGAGAACTTGATGAAAGGATAAACATGAGAGGTGTCCATGAAATTGAATTCTCTACTGAATCATTAGAGGACATCAGTTGCAAATGTCCTGAAGTAAAAGACTGACGATGTCGTACCTCACTTTTGAATTCTTCAAGAGTTTCGCCAGAAATATCCTGGTCTAGAAATCTCTTCACTGCTACCTCCTACAAAACCAGATGATGGCTATAAGGTCTACACCCTTGGGACATGATAATAATGAACGAAGAACGGAATACGTTAGCAGACTACTCCAAACAGATGAGACCAATAATGTTTAATGGTATATTTTCACAGTTTGTATAAAAGAACTCACAGTTCCATGCCAATCTCCACGGTAGACCTCCCCATATGATCCTGCAGCACAAAGAACACTCAAACAAGTTCAAATTTTACTTATTAACTGTAAAAAAACTGAATCAAAGTTTAAATGTTTTTTTAAATGAGAAACATGAAATTTTAATAAGTTCAATAGAACATCACAATGCATGGATTAGCAGTTAGTACCAAGTCCAATACGCTCGCCCAAGGAAATTTCTTCCCATGGGATTTCACATTCTGCAACATCATCAAGGGTAATATCGGATTTTGTGCTATCGTTTCCTACCGATCTATCTGATATCCGTTCACCCTCTGAATTTTCTCCACAAGCTTCATGCTCCCTATCTCCACTTCCACGTTGCTCATAAAGAGCAGCATCGGCCTCAACCTGCTCATATTGCTTGTTGACAGCCGCCGTTGTTGCAACCACTGCAGCAGCAGTGGCTGTGGCAGCAGCTGCTACAGGAATTTCGAGATTTGCATCGGTATTCTTTGCTGCAGCTACCACCATTGATGATGCAACAACAGCTGCAGCAGCTGCTGCTGCTGCAGCGACAGGCACATTTCTCCCATACTTCACTGGAGTTACCTCAAACGGTAAGGCTATAGGTTGTCCAGATGATTCTCTTGAATCAAGAGAGAGGTTTAGTTCCAGAGGTTTATGGTGCAGTTGTTGACCATGGGTAGGGCTTGCTTTAGAGTGCTGTCTGGGCTGAGGCAAGGGCGGCAAAAAGTTAGTTGGACGAGGATCTTTCTTATCTACACTTTCACAGAGACCAGGCACCTTCCTACTTTGATCCTTGTCTTCAGTTGGTGACTTAGACTCAACGATAACATCTATTTGGTCGGGGTATGCCTCGGTAAACAAGTTAGGGGGAGCAACTACACCACTTTCAAGCAACACGTCATGAAGCTTCTGAGCCAAACGTGGATTCTCTTTGGCAGCATCAATCATGTATTGTGAAACATCCTTTACTTTCATTCTGCGCACTGCAGGTGAACTAACACCCTCGGTCCATGAAGGTGATCGAATGTGCATGCCAGGATAATTTGGTTTGCTAGCAAAATCACGTGACGGCCCCTTGTTGACATTGGGAGGATCATATTCCTTTGTGGCACTGAGAGTCCCGGACTTTGGTTTCCTATCCGATATCCCAAAATATGGATTTTCCTCTAATGAACTGCCAACCCCACTGCTTGAAGATGCTGCCTGAGAGGAATCAACATCTCTAGAAAGTGGACTGGCTGAAAAAGGGGATCCATCATACTCTACATGCGATCCAGCAACATCAGCTGGAATAAGTGCACCAGGATCTGCCATTAAATCGACAATGTACTCCCTGGAAGTCAAAGGATCAGAACTTCAATAC